TTCATTTAAATCAGACATTTTTTTTTTTTTTTTTTTTTCATCATGAATATTAAAGTTTAAAAAACACTAGGTTTTATTTATTGCTTTGATTTATTACATTCAGTATTGTTACTATCTCTGTTTATTTCTTTAGTCTCGTCATTTTTTTGGTCTTTTTTACAGCCAAAAACTCATAGTTTTTTTCTTTTCACTTTTTTATTGATAATCTATGTAGACTTTTTACCCTTTTTTTTCTTTATTATTTTCTTCATGCAAATTTTTTTGATGTTTTTATCTTCCCTTCTGACTCTCCAATTCTTTCAACATTTTCGTCACCTACCTTTCTGCTTTAAAAATAGTCTCCCTACCTCCAACGCGTTTCTATATTTTTACCCAAATTTATGATTTGTGTTTTGTTTTGCAGAAAGTTTTTCATCATTCATAAGTTGTGGAAATCAATCAATTAAAAAAAAATAAATTTTAAGAAAAGAGAAAACCTTCATTTTTTGTTTATTCATGTTTGTATTCGCATATACTAAAAGAAGAAAAAATAAATTATCAAATAAAAAATACGATATCTTCATTTTGAAATGCTTAACCTGTTCTCAACGATAACTGCGTTCATTAAAGTGCCAGTGCAAGTCTCTTTCACCAACCATTTAAAACATTTATTGAAAGTAATTGAATTAACGCTATAGGATTTCTCATCGCACATCTTACCTCAATGATGAAAAGAAGAAAAAAAAAAAAAAAAAAAAAAGAGTGAGAGAGAATGGTAGAAAACGAGGAAGAAAGGTTATAAGCTAATTTTTCGACGTTGACGATCTTGAGGGAGATTCCAACTCGTGGATAAGACGAAAGAGTGCAGGAATAAAAAAAAGGGGGTGAGCGAACGGAATGGATTTCTTTCATATCTCGTGTATATTCAAGCCAAACATTCGGCACGAGAAGTTAACTCGCTACCATTACCGAGCTGCAGATTATAAGGGAAGCAATGGTCGGTTCGAAGAGTAGTAAAGAAAGAAAGAAAAAGGAAGGGAAAATGAGGATATAAAAAAAGAAGCGAAGGAGCAGGAATCCAGGAAACAGTTTCCTTTCATTTCACTCTGGCCTTGGAAAGGCCAATTTGTAGCGTAGCACGAATCTCTGAAAAGAATTTATATCAAACAACCCACGGCCCGACGACATTAACGATAAACTTATTAGCGCACTGCTTCTTTTACAACTCTTTTCACGACTCGTTTTTTTTTTTTTAGGAAAATATCATTCTGGACTTTTAAATTAATTTATCCTTGGGGCTTATGAAGAATAACACCTTCAAAGACATTAAGAGGCACTTGAACAGCAGATGTTAATTAACGCTTACTCTTCCTTAAAAAACGATCCTCAATAGTTGTCCCCAACTGTTTTTTCATGCATTAAACACTTTGCTTTACTTTACTACCAACACAAAAATTTTGGAGGAATCTAGTAATAAGGTTATTCTGATTCAAGAAATTAAACGGGTAGGAGCAGTCTACACGTACACTCGAGCATTAATCTTTTACATGCGCTATCCACAGTGGGGGCTCAGCTATCTTTCATCCAAGTCTACCTTATTTCTTTTTTTTTTTTTTTTTTTTTTTTTACTTCAGCAGACTGCCAACTTGCTTGCATGCCAGTATACTTGTAAATCCATGCCTCCTCTGTGCATATCAAGCCAAAGCACTCCACGTACACTTTGGTACACCTGAGTATAATTTTTCAAAAGACGATCGTTGTTTTTTGCGCAATACCGTTCATTCATCCTTTTTTTTCTTCCTGCCTTTCTAGCTTTTGATTTTTTTCTTTTTAATCTCACAATGTTCCGTTTTCCTGGTGCACGAACATCCACCGGCTTTTCGCGTTTAAGTCTCATTCAATATGTACCCAGTGGATACGCTTGCAATATTTCTCTAATTAATCGCGATAGTACTTCTTTCGAGTCCTGCAGTACGAGCATCTATCCAGCTAATGAAAACTCTATTCATTTACGGGAAACGAATTAACCGTAGTCTCACTTTTGTCCCGCGGAGAAAAAATAAATCAGGATTTCGATTATTCCGCTACATCCTCAAACCGGTCGCCGCTCTTTCGTCTCCAATGTTGTTTCAAACCCTCCTTAGACTCGGCCTCTTGAGCGGTTAAACACTTCAGCGTAATTAATGGACGAACCTTCACCTCCCGGGAGCTCGCAACGAATGCATAAAGAGCCCACCTCGGTCCCCGCTTCTCTCCGTCATTCTTTGCCCTCTTTTCAAATTTTTTTTTCCTCTCTTTGTACCTCAGACATCCTTTGTTTAGGATTGTTTGTAGAAACAGTTTTCTTTTCTTTCGCCGCTTGAGTCAACGTTACACCAACTCCTACATTCATACTGTTCACCTTTTTAAAATTGATCATCCTTTTTCAAGTTCAAATATGAGATGGAACAGATGAGATGTAAAAGAGGTCCAAAGCGTAATCTCGTCAAATCTGAAGGATCATTCTTCTTTTCGGCAACAAAGTGCTCTTTCCCTCGAGCAAGTATCCAGTAAGCTCTATCCTCGACTCTTCATTGCCATTCTGACTCCAATAATGGATATTACTCTTTAATTAAATTTCATGCCGTAATTCATGGCCTCTCAAGACGTGAGCCTTAAGATTTTTGCATCACTCAAGTGACTCGGGAAACCAGTCTCAAGTCCAGTCGTTGTAAGCACTGGATCAAAATATGCAAGACAGTACTGTTGATTTGGAGACCTTAAGTCAAATAAACTGTACACTTCACTCGTAATATCATAAATGCAGTTGTATCGATGATCTAACAGTAAAGGTAGAGGAGGAAAAGAAGACGTACGTGTAGAGAATCAGCAGCACTGGTCTCCGCTTCACGCTTAGAATAACTTCCACCGCACAGGGCTCCCACTCCAGATTTGGAGGAAACGGCAAACGTCTCGGAATTAATCCAGCCTTGCTCGGAAAACATAAGTATCTCCTCGTTCCTCCTTCCGGACATGGTTTACGTTCACGAGGTAGGTGTGCTCTCGCTCGGGAGGATACTTTTCTTAGGGGGGCACTCGGGAGGAAGGGGTAGGGTTGCTCTCCCAGTGTACACATCACATATCTCCAGGAGGTTTGCTCCCTCATTCAAAAGCCTTGACTTTGCTTGCAGAGCCAAAGACAAGGAGGAGAAAGTTTATTCAGGATACGGTTGTGAATGGATACGTGTGTGTGTGTGTGTGTGTCGATGGGTGGCTGTCGTGAAATTCATTGGATGTTGGCCATAGCATCGTGATTTTTTGCCTAGGCACGTGATGCATTTAACTCTTCTACTGAAAATCGCCATGGTGGGATCGTAGTTGTGTGCGATGCTAAATCACAGTTTTTGATGAATTTAAGGTGAACTTCAGACAGTGAGACGTAATGGTTTTGGACAATTACAATTTTTCCTCCTTTGATCATAAAGTATGCATTGATTTCCGATAAAAACTTATGAATAGACAAATGAGCAACACCCAAGGAACAGTGTAAATTATGGTGAGTGGGAATGTATACTGTACTTTTTTCACCCAATCGTTAAATAAATTTATGATCAACGCGAAATAAGGATGAGACATGGCAAGTAGTTAACATTACCCTTAAGGTCAAAGCAAGTTGGATAAAAGCGTGAGCAAAGTTGCCAGCACGTAATTATATAGCTCTAATTGATGTTGACGTGAGCTTGATTAACTGTGCATCATAATATGGACTAATTTTAAATTTTGCTCTATCATGTTTCATCGGCAGTTGTCCCCTATGCTGGTTCTAAAAGATCCTTGTGTCATCGAATAATCAAAACAGCACCAAATAGGTTGTCTCTGTATAGCCTTTAGCTGAAAGTAAAGCGATAATCTTGCAAAAATTACGTACGCACTTTGAGCGAGCGCTGGCAATAAATAAGTTTTAACATCATCATCGTCTACCTTTTAATTCTCCAACTTGGAGCTGTCCCCTTTCGAAGTTCGGAAAAGCAAAATACCACCCACTAGGGAAAGAAAGATAATCCCCTGAATTAAGTCTTCTGAGAGATCAAGGGGGAGCAGTGCGTCGCGAGAGAGTGATGATATGTCTTGTGATTATAAGATAGATAAGTTGGCGCTTCGAGGGCGGGAGAAAAGCGTTCGGTCATGCTTCTGCGTCATTCCCATGGTGCATTAACATAGGTATGCAAATTCGCCGGAATACTTACCAGGAAATTTCTCGTGGTAATGTCTGGAGAAGAAACGACTTCCTCCTCCCTTCCTACCCCTCGTCTCTCTGCAGGGCTCCTGGTGGAATAATACCGTGAATATGAAGGATAGAAACTTTTTCGGCGATGAATTGTTGAAACCGGTGTTGAACAATAATTTTTTCTAGAAAAACTTTCTCTTATTTTTATCGGCTATCTGTTCTCCCCTGGAAAACTTACGGCATCGCGAAAATTCAGTCAACGCACTTCAAAGGGGCAAGTGAAAAAATTTCATCTCGCCCAGCAGCGAGTCGTAAGGTTCACTTTGAATTTATTTATTTCTAGCTCTCACGAAATACAAGAAAAAAGGGGGAAATGGTCTCTATGAATGACGATGCGCTTACGCGTGTAGATAAGCTGGGAGTTACTTCAGAGATGAAATACTGAGACGTTTGTGTTTACGAATTGGAGGGAGAAAAATGAAACATGAAAGAAGATGCACAGGATAGCTTGGTTGATCCTGAAGCTGGATATTCTCGAATTACCTTGCATTGTACTTGTCAGAGATAAAATTTTAATATGACTGCTTGCTTTTTACCACCTTTCAGGGGGAGAGCTTGAATTTCCTTTTGAATATTAAGGAATTTTTCCTATTTACTAAAAAAAGTCTGTGATGGTGTTGATTTTTCTTTAGGATGTTGTACAGAAAACTACGATTAGAATTTAAAAATTTTGTTGATATCTATACTTTGGGTCAGCGGATTTTTCAATTAATGACAATAGTTTTTTAACGAAGGTATATTTTTGTTTTTGCAGATGTCAATATGGTTGCAGAGCCAAAGCCTCATCAAACGGGTCGCAAACGACAAAACATGTCCAAGACAGGAAACGATTGGTGAGTTTTTATTTTCAACTATACTTTTATAGATTTTTGGAAATTTTATGGAAGATAAATTTTAACCCTGATTTTAGTTTGCCATAAAGATATGACCAGTAACAAGAGCACATTCATAGTTAATAACAAGTTGAAAGACAAAGAAACAATAAATATTGCAGTTTTATGCATTTAATGCTCATGTAACTTATAGTTTAGAAGCCCCAGTTCTTGTATTGCATCATGTCCTTAGAAGTATAAAAATAAGAACGTGAATAGTATAAAAATCTTAATTTATTGAGAAATTAAATTTTTAATATCCCAACAAATACCAAAAAATGTACGAGTGAGCTCTAACGTATAAAGTAACTTAAATAGTACAATAGCATTAATCTACAAGGTTATTAAGACAGTTGATAAATCCTAGAAAAAAAAAAATTCCCTACAATGCAGGGTGTGGAAGAAAGTACACACGTGGAATTGCTTTTAAATTCAGTTGAGAGTGTGTATAATTGCATATTAAATTTCTACGAGGACATGATAAATCCACACTCTTTCTCGTTCGTTTCAATTACCATTACGTGCACATAATCTTTATCTGATGAGAAAAATAATAACATGCCGAAAAAAACAACACGACGAGAAAAGGAAGGACGGGGCAACGAGAGAATCGATTAAGCAACTAATTCAATATTCTTTCACTCCCTGGGAATTAGTAAACTTAGAAAATTGAAGTTAAATGAAAGCGCGTCAACCTCACCTCTGTACCTACCTACGACATTGAAATTAATTGGGCCTCTAGCACCCACCCCCGGTGTCAACGCAGCTCGTTATTTTTCGCCCGAAAGCACCCTCATTTTGCGATTAAAAACTTTGAGCGCGACAAAATAATCTTGCAAGTGAATCGGAAAATTAATTCCTCGTGGAGGAAAAAAAAAACCGAAATTGGCAACAAATCGAGTTTGCGAACGAAATAAAGAAAAAAAAAGTTGTATCTCGAGATCTTTGAAAGGATCTCATAGAGAGTAAAGCTCGGAGTCCGATAAAGAAAAAGAGCCAAGTAACGGTCATCGGTCTCACTCAGTCTGTGCTCAAGAGAAGACAATAAAACTCTCGGAGTGAAAGTGCGAGGATGTGATAGTGAGCGAGTGGATCATCTTCGTCGTCACCATCTCCGTATGAAGGATACAGTCTCTGCTTCACCGTAAAAATGACCAAATCCCATTGAGTGACGACGACGTGGCTCTGATACTACATTTTTTCCCGTTTTTCCTCCTCTATTTAGGTACTGTACTGTCCAATGGTTGACGTATCGCTTCGATCTACATTATTATTTTTACAGTTCCAGAATCGTATTGTTTCTATTGCATGTACATACATTCGTGGAAAATCCCTGGAATCATTACTCACTATTGAGATAGTAACCGGGAATCCACAGTAAGTTTGTGGTCCAGCGTAATCTTCTAGCTCCACCCAGAAATGACAGAAAAATAATAAAAATCAGATAAAATGGGTGACAACCATCGATGACTACATCAACCACTTAACATATATTATACACAAACATGAAACATAAGACCCTAATCCTTGGCCTAATATTTTTCCCTTTAGTCATGCCTACCATCTGGATGGGCCATCGTACCAGTCACCCTGTACTAGCGTTATGTAACAGGGCCATCCATACTATCACTTGGCACACCAGATCATCTCCTTCCATAACTTTCTTCTTTCCTTCTCTTTTGCTTCCTCCCCTTGCAAGAAAAGGTCCTTACGATAGCGGGTACACAGTGGAAAAAATCGTGCTTTATGCGGAAAACGTGACGAACCCTTTTTCTTTCTCTCTCTCTCTCTCTCTCTCTCTCTCTCTCTCTCTCTCTCTCTCTCTGCCTCTATCTTTTTCTTATACTTTTACTCGAATCTTCTTGCACGCTTTACAAGAATATACAACGAGCGCACATGTATTACAAATTCAAATCGGGTTCCCGGGGATGGACAATGCAATAGCACCAATGCCAACAGTTGCAGTGAATTGTGACACGTTCGTTGAGGATATAGTATAGGGTAAAGAATTTCCTTTTCTGTTTGTACAAATACACTATAAATTCCAAGTGTGTTAAAGCACGCGTTTAAAGCATGTAATCGAAATTTCTGTTTCTTTTTTATAAGATGTGTTATAGTAGTCTTGATAACCATTTTAAGAAAAACCAAATCGATTCTTCATAAACTATTTCACCTATTCTATTAAACTAAATAGTTATTTTCTTGAGCGATTGAGGTAAGAAGACTATAGGAAGTATAATATTTCTGTCGCAGATTTTACACCCTTGTGGAGGTATTAGACCTGTGACATACACGTTTTTTTAACGCACAGCTTTTCTACGTTAATTTTTCCTATTTAAAAGTATCGAGTTTACTCTACCACCCTTTAATCGGTGCAGAGCACTTTATTAACAAGAAACATTTTGTTATGGCTTCTTTGGAAATTTTTATCTGCTCAACGATTTATCTTTCAATGCTTACTTAATGAAAAGATGCCCATTAACAATTCCGCAGTCTACATCTGTCAGATTAATTCATCTATCTCCGTGACATCATTAATAAGTATAGTAACCGTAGCCTGACAATAAAACTCAATTCAACCCTCCCTTTCTTCCCTCCCTATGATCTCAAAATAAAGGAACCTCACGGTGAATGAAGACGCAATCAATGTTTCTTGAACGACACAATAATTCCACTATGAACATACCTACGTCAATGTACATAAACGCGTAGTCCTCAACGCCAAAGGTCAGGAAATATAAGTTCAGCCTCTTTCGTCCCGCCCCCCCCCCCCTCACATCCACGCGTATGTGACCTAACGGCACACGATCAATCAGGATGACAGTAGATTGTGGACGAAACGTCTAACGCGACGTTGGCTGGTGCTGGGAAATTAAAAAGCCTTCCTTTTGTTCTCCACTTTTTCTACCTCGGAAAGAAGAAAAATAGCTTGGCAAAGAGGAACAAGAAGAAGAAGAAGAAGAAGAAGGGACGTTTGGCTGTTAATTAACCATCCTCCCTCCCTTCCATCTCTCACTCTTTGCCCATCACCTGACTCTCGATTTTCTTTGGACCAAGTGTAAGGAATTAAAGGTAGGAGGCTTTGGCTGAAAGGAGCAGACACAGAGAGAATGTAAAATGAGCACGAGGGCGGTGGACCTAGAAAAAAAAAATCAAGTTGAATCAAATGTGTGCGTTTGTTTTGTGGCCTTGAGTGGTGGTGCTAATGAAATTGCGTGCTGATTTCTTTAAAGAAAGTGGTCGCGAGAACGGTGATTGTGAGATACGGCATTGATCAATCAAGTGGATTGGGAGCAGAAGAGTTTACCTGATGAAAAAAGGGCCCTCGATCTAGAGGATAAAAGGACATTTATTTCAATTCAATTGCTATAGTTTCTTATCACTCGTCTTAGGAAACTTTCTCTAACGTCACAGTGTGACCTCGTCTACAATCAAAAATTGATGAGAAATCAAGCCATAATAGTACTTGCACATCAAAACTAATTCGATTCTTATAGCATTTCTTCAATGTGACTTGAAGTGAAAAAAATAAAATATAAGAAAAGAAGCATAGAGTAAGGGAAGTTCTATATTTTAGATACGAAGTTCTGTTATAATGAGTGTAAACTTAGCTAGATACTTAGCAATAACCAAGCCACATTCCTCATTTTCTTCTTCCTTTTAAAAAAAAAAAAAAAAAAAAAAAAAATTTAACACGATTACAAGTGAACGATGAAGGGTGACAAGATATGAGGTCGTTTAAAATTACCACTGGTGAAAATCGTGTTATTATAAACGTAAACAAACGCCTTTCCCATACCATCAGCCGTGCGCTATACTATATAGCACCTGCCTAGCAGTAGCAAAGCGGGGTAAATTCGCGACTCGTGTACGCCGGGGGTTAATTACTCCGTGCCATTAACGTTATAACTTTGGGCGAGGGGAGGGGGAAGAGGGAGAAACAGGAGAAGAGGTCGAGTTACACTACGTGACTCGCTGCAGCTACAACGCTTGGCTGCCGCTGCTGTTATACGAAGGGGAAGAAAAGGGGTGGAGGGAAAGAGCAAGTGAACGTCTTTAAGATGCGATAAAGGGCATTCGCTTGCTCTGCTTCTGGGTGATGCTGCGTAATGACTTGCTCTGCATCGCTAAGAGATTTTTTTCTCCCTCCACCCTATACTCCCTCCCTATTTTTTGTTTCTAGGGTAATAATACTTTATTTTGCATTTTTTGTCGTTTCATGGTAGTTAGTGCGGTATTTTGAATTCAAACGGATAAAGTTCAAATCGTTTTAATTCTGAAAGTAAAGTAAAAATCTTAGTCGACTGATGATTCATCTTAATTGCAGTTCATTTTTCAAGTCAGATCCAGGCTGTATATACGTGTACCATGAGTCAAGATGAAGAACTTGTGGCCGAAGAAGTCGAGAAATCCACGGAAGCTCGAAAATCCGCTTAAGAAGTTAGCTTTCTTACCCTCATCCCTCGTCAATTTCTGAGCAGCTTATGCGTTACAACACCGAATTATAAGAGCCTCGAAAAGTTTCGACTTATACGGATCCGACTTTTGATTCAGTCATCTCTTCCAAAGGAATTATAAAGAAGATCTTTTTTTGTTCCACACAAAAATCAACCATTAAATGGCTAATGAAATGAAGAAACCCGATTAATTAACACGATATCGATTGATGCACGTGTAATATTTACGGTAGAGTCACTACGATTTCAAATCAGACAATTATAGTGACGATATACTGTCAGACTGATATCGTGAAGTACATAGTCCACAGTTCTAATTTACTTCTCATCCATTTCCAAGACCCATTTACAGAAGTGGGAAAAAAAAGGAAGGAAAGTCCCATCGACGTCTCTATAATCTCTCGGCGCCTTTGCCTTCCAGTATTTGTGACTTCGAGACAGGTCTCGTATAAGAATCGTATACCTCAGTCTATTCTCAACCCTCGAAGAGACGGGAACCTCCTC